AAGTTATGGGAAGACAAGTTTTAGGACAAAACTTTCCAAAGCTCCTTAGATAGCTCCCAATCCCACTACAACCCATCACAACTGCCTTGCAGGCCTAGGAACGGTCAGTTATAATCCACTAGTTTTTCACAGAGGAAACATAGTTCCCCTTTACGTTGTCTGTAGCAGGGGATATGGGGAAGAATGGGGAAAGCAGATATCTAGCTGCCATCTCCAATGGTGACTGCTGAAAAAATAAGCTAATAGCCCATACAGGGTGAGAGGTACCTGTATTTCACATAGCCAAGAACAGCAGTTCCCAACAGGGTCAGGGTCACCCAAGGGATATGTTGGGCATGGGAGGGCACAGTGTGTTTTCAGTTTTAGCAGTAACTGGTTGGTGCCAATGGCATTTAACTCAGTAGAACTAGGGGTGGCATATTCTGTGATGCAGAGCAGAGTCCCACACAGTAAGGAACTGTCACACACCCTGGCTCTCCATGTCTCACAACACGTTCTTGTGGGTCACAGCTCTGTTTATAAATATCTGAGCTTAGAACCTGACTCTCTCTTTTACACACTAAGTAAATGCTTTTTGGACTGTTCTGTCCCCCTGCTCCCTAGAGTACTTACAGGAAAACTAGGTCAACGCTGGGCACACACTTCTGGTTTAATAACAAAAGAGGAAAAACAAGCAGCCTGCCATTAGAAATAAAATGAAGTTTGCAGCTTTTTAAAAAAGGAAAGACCTGTCATTGAAGTTCAGAACTGTTCACATGCCTTCTAGAAATTTAGTCACACCAAGTTGGCAAGAACTGAAAGTCAAAATTTTGACTCTCAAGTGAGGGCAAGACAGGGAAATCAGACAACATCATTACCCCATTAGAGATCCTGGAACTAGGAAAGGAAGGAAACATAAAGGACATTTCCTACCCAATGAGTGGGACTCCGGTGCTATGTAATGTCTCACAGGTTTAACAGCTGCTACAAACATTAGCAACAGTGAGATGGTGCCGAGTCGTCTCTGTTATGTTGGGACTTTACAGTAAACTCTATGTGTGAATAATGGAATGCAGTCATGCCAATCAGCCAGCAGTGGCATGAGTGGAGCAAGGCTCTGGTGACAGAGCTAAAATAGGTTGCCTCTGGTGGTGGCTTTGTTTTCCTATCTCTAGGGTGGACACATGGCTACTAATAAATGCCCATTCTCTATGGCTATCCTGAAAATAGCTAAATGACCACAGGTTGTCAGACAGCTGTATTCTGATGTCATTCTCCCAAGTGCCATCTCCAAAAGCCAATGTGAAACAATCACTATCTCCTTATTCAAGAAGTTTCCACTTAACCATGCTAGCTCAGCAATGGATAAAGTAGCCAAAATACGTAGGTTCATATTCCCTTTAGTCATTGTTAAAATGTTTGTCTTGATAAGTAAATGACCTTAAAAAACATTCAGGCCCCTCATAAAAAAATAGGTCCTTGCATCACAGGCAGTTTTTTTTTAACCTTAAAAATAATGTCAGATTTAAGTATCTGACCTATGTTGTTCAGAGTTAAACACTATTCTTTAAAATCATACATCAACATATACAAAGACAAAAAAGCAATGGTGAACAATTCAAACGTGACTGTAATTGTTACTGTGATAATATATGGAGAGTAAAATTTGAAGTTTAGATTGATATAAGAAAACAAAATAAAAATGTTATCCTAGGCCAGGTGGGGTGGCTCATGCCTGTAATCCCAGCACTTTGGGAGGCCAAGGTGAACGGATCGCCTGAGGTCAGGAGTTCGAGACCAGCCTGGCCAACATGGTAAAACCTCATCTCTACTGAAAAGACAAAAATTAGCCAGGCATAGTGGCAGGTGCCTGTAATCCCAGCTACTTGGGAGGCTGTGACAAGAGAATCGCTTGAACCTGGGAGGCGGAGGTTGCAGTGAGCCGAGACTGTGCCATTGCACTCCAGCCTGGGCAACAAGAGTAAAACTCTGTCTCAAAGTAAAATATTGTCCTAAAAAAAGGAGTCAGAATTAGAACATAAAGTCCTCTCTGTACTGTGATCTTTGTTTTTAGAAACATAAAACTCCGAGTAATGAAAAGCTAATAAATGTTCTAGCAGCAGTCCCTTTCTGTACTTGAATATTAGTGAAATGACAAAACTTGTTTACAAATTGGTATCATAAATATAGAGTTGTGTGGAAGCCTGTGGATGCCAGTGGAGTGAATATGCAGGGTTAGATACCCACTTAGGTTATGGATCTGAGAATCTCGAGTTACCCAGCCATATTTGTCAGCTTAACACCACTAGGCCCCTTTATCTGGTGACCACTCTGTCATTGTAATCTCCACTTCCTTCTCATGTTTAGCATTCAGCAGGAACAACTTCTGAAGCATGCCTACCTTCAGACATCTGTATTATCTTCCATGTGTGCCTGTGTGATAGACTATATTTTCAGTTGCCTAGAAACCAACCTTTAACGGGTAGCTGAACTTCACTGTTCTGTGTCTGGTAGGTGTTGGAAAATATCACATATTACTGATATACTTTGTGATTATTTTAATCCAACATTGTTTTCAAATTAGCTGTAAATACGCTACTGGGATAAATTCTGTATGATTTTTAAACTAACCACTCAGAGGAAGTATTGTTAGTGAGATGCTCTTTCTATTATTATTATTCATTATTTTAATATTACTGAATTTCTTGTGACAGCCCTCTTCTCAGTCATTAGCAATACTTAAATGCTGTCCTTTTGGATTTTGGTTTATAAAATATAGCAAGGGTACAACTTCCTTGATGTACTAGATTTTGAATGTTGCATACTTTATCTGATGGGAAGCATTACTGATCAAGTACTAGATTGCATCATAACTACAGTTCCAGTTTCTGAGCCCGGTGATACAATCTGAAGCCTTACTTTGTGGCAGAAGCAACAAGACCAACATCTCTGATTTTCAACTCTTTGGAGCAGCCCCCTCCTCTTTTGAGCGGTAGACTTAGCCAGTGTTCCCTGCCAGTCCCTCCTGCCTACTCTTTTACCTCCTTCTTGGCCAATGGCGCTCTGCTCAGCTAACTTCCAGTTCTTCCCTCTGCTGGGTGGGGTTGGTCCCTGATACTGTTTGCACTAGGAATTTCAGATTCTCTTAGATGTCAGTTGTTTTCACTGCCTTAAAGAAAACAAACTAAAAGAATGGAGTTTGTGTTTTCAGTAAGCAAGAATCCCAACGCTTTTGGAGGCTAAGGTGGCAGAAGCCCATGAGCTTAGGGGTTCAAGACCACCCCAGGCAACGTGGTTAGATACCATCTTTACAAAAGGTTTTTAAAAAATTAGCCAGGTTCCGTGACGTGCACCTATGGTCCCAGCTACTTGGGAGGCTAAGGCAGGAGGATCACCCAACCCTGGGAGGTCGAGGCTGCAGTGAGCTGTATTTGTACCATTGCACTGCAGCCTGGGTGACCAAGTGAGACCCTGTCTCAAAATTAAAAATTAGCCAAAAACAAAACAAAGAATCATCTTAACATGATTTAAAAAATACCTTGGGCAAAAAATTGTTCTGAAGTTGTGTACCCATTTTCTGATCTGCAAATGAGATTTTCATTACTCTTCAGAATCAGAATTAATGAGGATCCTTTAATTCTCACAGGCTTTTCTTAAAATTAGTGTTTATTATGAACTTGCAGACATTGATAGGAAGACTTTTTAGACACACTGAAACAAAATGTTAGCATATTTCTGGTTCCTAAATTAGCATAACAGCTCAGTATTTCTTATATATAGGTATATAAAATATCTTCTGGCTTAATATGAAAAAATGTCAAACATATGAATACCAATTTGGATGGTGTATCTCTACTGTCAACAAACAGTAGTCTGCAGTGCTACTGGCAAAATAAAACTATTTGAGAATGGCGTTTAAAGTGGAGATACGTTTTTTTCCTAAGTCAAGTATTGACTAAGATAAGACACTGGAGGTTTTCATGACACATGAGATTTAATGAAATTTGTTGACCAAGAACATCTTTGAACAACGTCTCTTTTGAGGTTGCTACTGACTGTATTTGATGTTATGTAAAACCTTGCTGGGCAATAAATATAAGATTCTATTTTTGTATGATATTATAGTGCGTGTGAGTGGGGGGCTTTCTCAACTTTGTGTTTTATGATACCATTTCAGAGATCATCAATACTTCTAGAAGCCATAATAATTTGCTATTTATCTGCAGCCAAGAATTGGTAATACTAGATGCCATCAATATGCTGGCCAATGTAGAAAAGTAACTTGTGACTGGTTATTAACTGAGCAGGTTTTTCGGCATACACCTGTTTATGAGTTCTTGCTTTTTCCCTCCCAGAAAATTCAAGACTGAAAAAAAAAGCTAGAAGATTTTATGCCTATATGTAAATTTATGCAAGTTTGTAAATACATACAAACACACATACACTCAGTTTCTATCCTCTTTCCTAGAAAACACTCTGTCATGTCTCGGAAACAGATATTAGAAATTTAAGAGAGAAAGAGAAAAAGATTAAATTAGATTTTTGTTGTATTATGTGCTTGATGGTCAAAATAATTGCGTCTTGAGTAATCAGTATAGTACGTACTGTAAGTTGTCACCAATTTAGTAAGTCAGCAAGATGAGAGATGAAAGCTGCTCTGCTAGTTGTTTTGTTTTATTTAAATGGAATCTTTTGGTGTCTGCAGTGTATTTTGCTTGGTGTCATAGTGCAAATAATTTTTTCTCCGACTTCTTCATCAGACCTCCCATGCCGATAAGTATGGGTAGAATGGTGAGTTGCACGCAGGTCATTCACCCCTAAAGAAAACACTCCCAGGTCACAATATTTAACCCACATTATAACAACAGCTGCAGACTGGCATCCACAGTGTAAAGTCATAGGCATCACAGTTCGTAGGAATTCCACCTTGAAATCCCCCTATTTTATCCCTCAGAATTTTGATATGAGAAAGTGTCTGATATAATTAATAACCTATTTGTCTTGGTTTTTTTCCTCTTAAGATCAAAAAATATTTTGAACTTGAGCCACTTGCACGTGGGAAACGCTGGATTCTACAGCCCTGCTCACTGGACGACATGGATGCACTGAAAGACAGCTTCTCTCAGCTGATAAATTTGTTAGAAGAAAAAGACCATGACGCTGTAAGAATGTGAAATCTGGCAAAGAAAACGGGCGCCCCAAAGGCCTTGAACCTATCATGTTAGTTTCTCGTTTTAATTTTATTTTGGTATCAAGACTATAATGGCTTCGGTATCTATTTTTCTCTGGTTTTTTCAGACTCTCATCTCTCTATCAAAGTGAATATTCTGTAGATCAGATGAATTATCATCGGCATTAACGTCAAGTACACACTACTGAGAGAGAATTTATTCTCTGTTTACCACTAATTATCTTCACCGCATGTCTCTTCCTTCTGTTGTTCTAAGCATCTCTTCTATACTCTGTGTTAAAACGGATGGAATTCATGGCTTATGGAAATCAAATCCCTTTTGAAGGACTCAGAAAGACTCACAAGACCATGATCATTTTCCCTGGGATTGGGAGTGGAGTATCATGTGACTGGGACTCCACAAAATATGTATATTATTTTCAAGATCTCTTGGGGGGGGATTGTTTTATTTTATTTTATCTTATTTTTATTGTTTTATTTTTGGTATACTGAGCTTATAGACTATGAGAGAAAAGTGAGCACCAAAAACTTTCATTAATCACTTTATCAGGAAGAAATATCCTGCCATAGTAAAATTGGCTCTGAAGAGCTTAGAGATAAGTTGCATAATGTTTTCTTGATTACGTCTGAAGTGTCACTCCTCTCTTTTAGGAGCAAAGACATTGTTTCAGTTTCTGAGAGCAGTTAGAGGAAATGCAGGTACAATGCATGCATCACGGACTGTATTGGATTGAGTCGAGTCTTCAAATATTTTTTAATGGAAAGGTTAGCCTGCATAAAGTCAAGCTGCAATGTAACATAAGTATCTTTTTTAAAAAACTGCAAGTGTTTAATTAAAATAGAGAAAATAATTTTAAAAATAATAGATATAAATTTTAAAAATAGCCAGAAAAAGCATAATTTATACTGCTTAGGGTTTAAGCTGGCATGGATTTGGCAAAGATAACAAAGAAAGAATTATCTATATATTCATTCATTATGTGCTACTATAGTTTATTGGAGTCTGTTAATGCCTTCCTCTAATAGTTAAAGGTTTATCAGCATTTCTATTATAAACCTCTATTTTCAGGGGTTTCACTGTGCCCTTAAAAGTGTGCTGGGGCTGCAACAAATAAATAATATTAGGACTCAGATTCAGTCTTTGGAACTAGTTCCCCCCCCACCATTTAATTTAAATGATAAAATTGCATAGGGATAAATGTACAGTTTGCTAAGGTTTAGCACCTTTGATCTTTTTTAAATCAGGAAAACAATCTATGCATATTGAGGTTCATAGATGAAATATTCTTTGGCATACTTTGTAGACTTTTGACTACTTAAAATACTGAGTTGCCAAATGATAAAAAACTGCTCCCTACACCTGAGTGATAAAAATCTTGTAATTTTTAGGTAACAGAGACTGATATCCAAATACCACAGACTCACACTATATTACAGAATGACATAATACCTGATAATTCTCCAGAAGATAGACTTCAGACCCTTAATGTCATTAAAATATAGTTTTTGTGGTTTAATCTTGTGAGTAGATTGTAATGAAATCGTTACCTTGGAAACATCAAACACTTCTTTAAGCTTCTTTTTTGTAATGTCATGAATCAGGAAGGACCCTTAGTGACTAATATACAGTTTTGTCTACAGCATCCTTGAATATTTTTAACACTGTGTAATCCGTGAGCAGCACAAAACTTTTATTCTGATGACCAGTTACACAATTCCTGTTTTTATTTTGTCCTGTTGTGCTCATCTTCTATGAGAAATAAATGATTATTAGGCCTTGCTTTCCCTGCAAGTTCATTAAATGTAGAATGTTGTCTTTTTAAGACACCGTGGCTGAGTGCTCCTAAGCCATCTGTTAAATGACTTCCCGTGGTCTGTGTGTGTGTGTTCATGTGTGCGCCAGTGATGGGCTTCTCCTCAGACCCATGACTGTCTGCAGCGTCTCAGCCGTCAGAATGAAAACATTATCAATCAGTACCCAACAACAGCTGTTTTTGACAAGTTTCTGTCTGACGCCTAATGCTTTACAACTGTCAATAAGGCTCCCTCTTTGTCTAGCAGGTCGGAGCTCGCCGTCTTGCTGCTTCCCAGCAGCATCCTGTCCTTGTAACCCTAGAATTTGCCATGTTTTGGAAATCCACGTGGGGGCGGGGTGGGGCCTGAACGGGTGGGGTGGGTGGGTGGGTGGTGGGGTGGGATGGGGAGGGGAGGGAGTCCTATTCCTACTTTCGTGTAAAGTGCCACAGGTGTCTTGGTTTGCGTATTCAAATATATAGGAAAAACAGTCTGTTATGTATTTCTTCACTTAGCTTCTTGTTATATTTATGGACGTTTCCAGTTTTTGTACCTTCTTAGCTAAAGCAGTTGCCTTTTTGTAATGGCAATTAATTTATATGATAAAACTTTGTATCCACTGTAGTCGACAGTATTGGTTGCTAATTAACTGCCATATTGCCCTTTCTATTATAAAATACTGTACCTGTACTTAGAGGCTAACAGATTCATGTGGACATTTGCCAGGCAAGAACAACATGTATTGTTCATGATTTCTATGATTTCCACTATCTTCAAAAAATAAACGCTGAGTAGAATTTTTGTTTTCAGAGTAACTCCTTTCAGCTTTAGCATTTGGGAGTCCCAGATTTCTGTTTACATTTGTGTTGCCTGTTTGTCTCCAAAATAAGTTCTGCTGCTCTTGGGTCAAAACAAATGATTAATTCGCATTTCCTTTGAAGCCATTGTGAAACCTTAAAAGGAAAAAAAAAAAGCCAAGTATCTTTTCCAGTTGGTTTGTCTTCGGCAGCAATTTACTCTCATTGAAGCTGCTCTTTCACAGTGTGTGAACAGACTCAAGATATTATTATAAAGCATCATCCTTCAATCAAAGGCTTATTTTATAATATCTGCTATAAAATTAACTTGAGTGGCACAGTTTGGTGCAATGAATTATTTCCTTCAATGGTGATTGATGCTGTTAAGAAATATTTTTAAGTGACTCAAGAGGAAATACTGTCCATTTACAGGTCCATCCTTAAGGATGAAAGTATAAAAAAAGGGAGAAAGAAAAATCCAGTGGTAGATGGATGGAAGAAGAGAGAAAAAGAAAAAAGTACATAATCAAAGATGAAAAATGTAAATCCCAGCTTTTGCTTGGTCCCAAATGCAACATTATCAACACTTAGTATTTGACTATACAGAGATTACAACATTTCACTTCTAAGCTGGGATCTAACCTTCATTCCTAGGTTTATTTCTGGAGTAGGCAATTAGCAGTTATCAACTTCCTAAGCAACTCAGGCCTACTCAAGTAAATGTGAACAGAACTGTAAGATTTTGAAGCAAATGGGGTTTTCTTCATGTCCAGATTGCACATTCAGACTTGAATGGAAATATATTTGTGCCTGCCTTCATCCTCTTTATAACTTGAAAGTGCATTTTCATTAACCCCCTGACCTAATGGTGCAAACAGAAATGCAAAGGTATGTGGGGTGGTGGGGCTGGAAGTGGGAGTTGCCCTTTGGGATCCCTCATTTTCAATGCATTTGGAAGGGAGGGTCTGTCTTTGTTATGCAGAATCTTTAGAATGTAGAGTCCCTGCCTTCCCTTGTTCCCCAGCCTGGCTCCTGGAGATCTGGAGTTAATGCTGTAAAATGCATGACCACATCATGGTAGGGAATTCCTGCCTCCCAGGGGCTCACAGTTTTTGGTCACCAGTGAATCAGCATGATTAAATGATTTGCATGTCAGGGTTAAATGTTTTCAACTCAGATGCATGAAGTGACTGATGAGCCCAAGGTTTGGCACCCTACCCCACACCCCCTTGTACTAATTTAGTAACATGAAAAGGATCCCTTGTAAGACTTAGAAGCCTCAGATGGAATATCAGTTTCCCCCACCCCTTTCCTATTCTCTTTGAATGAAAAACTTTTCTTCCACCTACTGTCTCATCGGATCTGGAAATTCTGACTTCCCTTTCTGGGGGTTCATCTGTGACAACTTCTCCATAATGTGACTTACTGTGAAACCGAGGCAAAGAAGTTAAAAGTCACAAAGAAGAATATCTCCAATATGCCTTGTCTAGCATCCTCCTTTCCTTACAAAACAAAGGGAAATTAAAAGCCCATGATCTTTCTATCAGATTTTTCTCTATAATCTCATCTTGCATTCCATCTCTGCTCCTCGAAGCATATTGTATTCACTGGCTTCTGGTTTAAAAAGGCCACCTACAGTGTTCTTAGGCTGACCCTGCCCCTTCCCTTTCTTGCTCTACTTCTCAAGTCCTGACTGCAAGCAGGAATTTCCACAGGGCATTCTAGATGAATAATCACTTTCTGCAAGGGAATGGTGTGGGCCTGGTGGCTTTCAAAGAAACTTCACTTACCATATAGACCTTGAAAGTTACTTGTACCCTGTTTGGAGAATAAAGAAAGTGGTTTATAGATGTAATGCCTTGCTAGACTCAGCCAGGTCTATAATCCAGTCCAACTCCTTATCCCCACTGCTCCAGCTAGACATAGACCAACACGGTACAGCCTTCCCACCACACTTAAAAATGATCTTCTGCAAACTACTAGATAATGGTGAATTCCCTCTTTCCTTCCTTCTTTCTTTTTCAAAAATCTCTTCCTTTTATCTGATGCTCTCAAAAAATCCTACATGAATGTTTCAGCCTGTTTTTTTTTTTCCTAGCAGCAACATTTCAGTCATGGAAGTGAGTTGGCGATGTGGTCCTCAGAGTTGCTAGCCAGGCTCAGACCCATGGGAACAAATCAAAATAAGCCTTGAGTAAGCACCACGTTCCCCAAACTCTCTCATTTTCCTGTTTCTTCAGGAAATAAGGGGAGGTGGAGGGAACTGGTTGTTTCAAAAAGCCTAAGATCACTTCCATCACAGGCAAACCCCTTCTGAAAGTGTGAAATCCAGCCTACAATGCCACAATTTTCACCGACAAGTGATTCATTGAGACAAAGGCTAGAGTTCCAGCATCAAACAGATGTCAGGCAAAACACCAAACGCCTATAAATGATTGCTTTGCAAGCAATGGAGTAACTGGAAGACCTGGCCTAATGATGCACCCCATGTCTGGACAAGCTGACAGAAGATGGGGGTGGAGGGAGCTGGTTTTAAATGAGTCTGTGAAGAAGGCTGTTTCTGGAGAGAGAAGCAAGACCACAATTCTTACCTGAGAGGTTCATGTTGAATGGTTTCTGGCCAGTTTGTGTATAATCTGTATAAAGGTAAATCAGAAAAATGTGAGTCCAGGGCACCTCGAAAGCCAGAGTGGTATGGTATGATATTAAATCATTAGACTTATAAATATCGGAGTAAATTAAAAATGAGAAGATTTTGTTAGGATGGAAATGGCTCACCAAAAGGCAGAGACAAGAATGCAAACACTAAGTCTGGCTGTCATTCTCTGTAAGCTGGAGCAAGTCAGGTTTGTCTCTGGACCTTCTCCAGTTGTTTTACAACTTTCTAGACATGGAGTGCATCAACCCAACACTTTTATTAAGCAGCTTCTACAGGATTTTTGAAATGACAGCTTGTCGAGATTCAGCTTAGCATTGTACAGTTTTAGTTCACAGTTGGAACTTTTGGTTTCAATACTCTGAGGACTTTGTTCGTTAATGCAACACACTTTTTGTTGAACATTTATGTACTAGGGATTGTGTTAGGTACTGTGGATATAGCTGTAAACATGACATACTTGGTCTCTTTGTAGACTTTAATTTCTGCAATACTGGTTGATTGGATTATTTTTATGACCATAGAGAATTAAAGGGAGTGAGGGGTTTTATTATATTAAAATCGCAATTTGAGTCTCTAGATTTAAAAAAATTTGTTCTTGGTCCTATTTTATGGTTTTTAGCCCTCCTAATTTAGAATTGTTTTTGAATGCTGTTTAGCTTCCGCGACCATTAATAAAACTAAAAATCTAACCATAGTGAAGGCTTTGCCTTTTTTTAAGCATCTTTGTAAATAGAACCCTTTGAAGCTAGCACCTTTTATTCTGCTATTTTGCTGCTACAACAATGCAGCATGTGTCTAGCGCACAAAGGTGCTTCCAACGTGCAAAACCAAACTCTTGTCAATTACCTACTGTTCTTTTCATCCTCTCTGTATTCAAAGGGCTTTGCCTCTTCTAGAACAACCTTGTCTCATCCTGTCTGTTGATCAAACAAATGACTTATATTTGAAATGCTGAATGTTGAATCTCCAAGAAGAAAATTCTTATTCAGCAGCAGTCTCTTGTGTTTTATTCCATCTAACAGTAAAGGCTGCCACGATTCGCATGCCCAGACAGAATACAACTGGTAACCTGTAAGCATATAACCTGCTGAGTTTTTGTTGTTGTTGTTGTTATTTGACCTAGGATGGTAACAGTGAGTTTTAACTGGTTTCAAGAGGCTGCTTTGTTTTTCTCTCTTTGAGGATTGAGAACTTGGAGAGACCCCTTTAAGCCCATGATTTATTCCAAAATGGTACTTGGGCAAAGTTGTTCTTTCAGCAGGAGTTAACACATTTTGGATTTAGAACACTTTTACAAAATCTATACCAACACTCTTCACATTTTCTTGAACACCTAAAGGCCATACTGTTCCTGCTTACCAGTCTTAAGCCCCATGCTGGATGTGACCTTTAGAGAACCATGACACATTCCTTTACCCTGATAACAGTTTGGATCACAAACTTTAACTGAAATAGAAACCTCTCTATTTCCATTCCATTTGTTAATTTCAAATCACCCAGATTTTTTACTTTTTAATTTATGGATTTATTTTTTAGAGATAAGGTCTTACGTTCCCCCAGGCTCACCTCTAACTCCTGGGCTCAAGCAGTTCTCCCCGGACTCAGCCTCCAGAATTTTAAAGTAAAACAGTAGGATCCAATGACATCGTATAATATCAGTGATTAATCAAAATGTGTGGTTTTAAAGTAAAACAGTAGGATCCAATGACATCGTATAATATCAGCGATTAATCAAAATGTGTGGTTTGTAATTGGGTGTCCGCCCCTAATGAAATAAGGGGCAGTGGTCATCAGTGTCTGCTAATGTCACAAAAGAGAAGCAACCAGGCATAGTTCTGTGCTTCCAGATGGAAGTGTGAAATACGACCGAGGAAGTATTCGTGCCAAAAAATTGAACCTGAGTCTGATCAACCCTAACAATTTGTAGAAAATACAGAAACAGAGAAATAGGTTAAATGACACATGGTCACACAATAATCAAAAGCCAGACTATTGGAAATTTCACTGACCAATGAGCTGGTTTACTAAATAACAGGCCAGAAAAAAGAAATAGAGGGAGGAAATCTGCAGATTGAAAGAGTATGAAGAGCTCCATCAACCAATTACAGAGTCTGGGCCTTATTTGGATTCTGTTCAAACTACCAAAATGTAAAAGAATAAAATTTGAGACAATTGGAAAAATTTAAGCACTTGTTGAATATTTTATGAATTAAGAAATCCTTGATTACTAAATTCTTTTAGGTGTGATAATGAAATTGTGGTTGTATGTTTTTTAAAGGAGCCTTTATTTATTAGGGGCACATACTTAGATCTTTATGGATGAAATATTATGATGCTCAAG